TTGTATGGGGTGAGCCCCACAATAGTAAAAAGAAACAGAATTTCCAGAGGATGAGGCCCAGAAATCAGGATTTTAAAAAGATTCCCAGGTGATTCTAATGTGCAGCCAAGGTTGAGAATCACTGCACTAGAAGGAGTATTAATTGAAAAAGACAAGCGTGGCATCCTCATTAGCAGCGTCGGCTGAAACCTCACCTGACTGCGGCCTCGTCCTTGTAATAAGGTGAGGCGTCTGCAGTAGAACTGGTGCGTGGGAAGCAGGAGAGATCGGGGAAGGGGTTCCCTCTGCAGCACCGAGGCTGGGGCCCACACTTTATAGCAGCTTCAGAGAAGCAACAGCAAGTAAACAGAAAGCTGAAGTGACTGGGTCACCAGCGATGGGCGGTGTGGGCAGACCCAGAGTCCCCGGACGGGGGGCCAGGAGCTGTGAGCCCATCGGGGCTTGTCCTTCCAGGACACGCCTTGCCAAGGTCACCCTCGGGCACCTCTGGAATGAGTGTCCCCGTCCTGCCAGGTCCCCGGTGGCTGGGGCGTAGCTTTTGCACGGAACACCCACATAGCTTTCCTCCTTCCGTTTTGACGTGGGCAGGAACCTGAAACCGCCTGAAGGAAAGGAAGTTTCCTGGGTATTAATTTCCTGCTTCACATTACCCAGCACGGTGGCAGGCCTCTGTCTGCACGGGCGACCATCCTCCACTCCTCTCTCTGGTGTTGTTGTTTTTTTTTAATAGTATTACCATCTCAGCCCAGAAGTAGAAACTCTGCCAGCATTTCCATTAGAAACCTCATTTTTCAGGGTCTTTTAACTGAGCCATAAAACTTTATTCCTCATATTAAACAGATCCTAAAATGATCTTGGCCTGCTGTCAAGTTTTTTTTTTTAATATATGTATTAAGAAAACTGATCAATTACTAGTAAAGGGGAAAAAATCAATCATCTTATTTCCAGTTTGTGTCGGAGGAATGTTTTAAACCGTTTTGTCCTTGAACGGTACCTGTTATTAGGCTTGCATCGACTCTCCACAGTTACTTGGTAGGGGCGGGAAACATGTTATTTGTGGGAAGGAGAAAGGCACAAAGGCGGTCAGAAATGGCCCGAGGGAGGCCCGGGCACCGTACCCTGCGGACACGCGTGCCCTCGTTTGCTCCCCACTCTCCATGAGGCTGAGTCCGCACCTTCCTAGCGGTCCCCCTTCCGTCTCTGTCCATCCTGCCGGCAGTGGCAGTGGGCCTGTCATCCTGCCCTAACGAGCCATGTAGCTGCTCGGCAAAGAGGACTAGTGAGTGACATTTCCCCAAAGTGTCCATTACTGTGGGGTGTTCTTTGTTTCTTGTTGATGGCGCAGGCACTCAGTGCGTTCATTCTACGTGATTTAGACGAGTGGGTTTCAAACTGTCTAAAGGTGGAGGAGTTTCCTTGGGCCTCGGCAGTGGGCTGAGAGGGTGGGGCAGCTGAATGCATGACCCCACCCCTGCCCACTTCAGCCAGATCCACATTTACTATTTTTGTATCTTGAGCTTTGGCATAAGGGTGGGGCAGCTGAATGCATGACCCCACCCCTGCCCACTTCAGCCAGATCCACATTTACTATTTTTGTATCTTGAGCTTTGGCATAAAATTTTGATTGAAAATATTGGGAAGACCTTGGATCTAGGCTGTAGAGATAGCAAACTGGTAACTTGTTTGACCAGAACATTTGTTTGTTTGTTTTTGTTGTTGTTAATCCTCACCCAAGAATATTTTTCCATTGATTTTTAGAGAGTGGAAGGCAGGAGGGTAGAGATAGAGAGAGATAGATAGATAGATAGAGAGAGAGAGAGAGAGAGAGAGAGAAACATCGATATGACAAAGACACATCTATTGATTGCCTCCTGCATGTGCCCCAACCAGGGCTGGGGATCGAACCTGCAATCAAGGTATGTGTCCTTGTCTGGGAATCAAACCCAAGACCCTTCAGTGAGTTGGCCGATGCTCTAACCACTGACCCATACCGGCCAGGACAGGACAGGTTTTGTGGTTGTTGTTTTTAAATGTTTTTATTGATTTCAGAGAGAGGAAGGGAGAAGAGAAGAGGGACAGAAACATCAGTGATGAGAGAATCATTGATCAGCTGCTTCCTACACGTCCCTATTGGGGATTGAGCCTAAAACCCAGGCATGTGTCCTGACCAGGAATTGAACTGTGACTTCTTGGTTCATGGGTCAGTGCTCAACCACTGAGCCATACCAGCCATGTTTTTCCATTGATTTTTAGAAAGAGTGGAAAGGAGGAGGAGAGACAGATAGGGAAACATCAATGTGAGTGAGCCTGAAACCCAGGCATGTGTCCTGACCAGGAATTGAACTGTGACTTCGTGGTTCATGGGTCAGTGCTCAACCACTAAGCCATACCAGCCATGTTTTCCCATTGATTTTTAGAAAGAGTGGAAAGGAGGAGGAGAGACAGATAGGGAAACATCAGTGTGAGAAAGACACATCGATTGGTTACCTCCCACACACGCCTGACCAGGGCAGGGGGTTGAATTGAGCATGCAACCAAGGTACGTGCCTTTGACTGGAATCGAACCCAGGACCGTGACAAAGCTGAGAGGGAGGTCAGGGGTAGCACCGGTGCAGAAAGTGCTGATCTCAAGTCCTCACTTTGTCCATTAGGTTTGTCACCGTTGCGTACTCGAAGCTCTAACCAAAACTGTATGCTCCGGAGATATGACAGAGTTTTTCCTCTGGTTCTCCCTGCCCTCGTTCACAGGGAAGTGCCAACACAGGGGAAATGGCCCAGCAGCGGACTTGTGGCTGGGTGGGAGGAGAAGCCGGGAGCCTGGGTAATTAGAAAATCATAGCTGTCAGAGCTGGAAGCAGACCTCAGAGTGGCCAGCCCCTCATTTGTTGATGAGGACAGTGGAGCCCGGAGCAGAGGGATGCCTTCCTAAGCCCAGCTCCTGGGTGGCAGAGCCAGGTCCGGGCAGGGCCGCCACTGCTGGTTCCTCCCCACCCTGCCTCTCGGCCCTGAGCAATGAGGGCTGATCCCCCAGCCTTGTTCCCAGGCTTGTCGTGCCTAGGCCTGTGCTGACTAACCCATTGCCTTCTCTCAGGAGACCAGTCGGGGGATGAGAACATCACCCAGATGCTGAAGCGAGCCCACGACTGCAGGAAGACGGCCGAGAACGCGGCCAAGGCCCTGCTCATGAAGCTGGACGGCAGCTGCGGGGGTGCCTTCGCCGTGGCCGGCTGCAGCGTGCAGCCCTGGGAGAGCCTGTCCTCCAACAGCCACACCAGGTAACTGGGCTTCTGTGAGGTGGACATGTGTCCACGTGTCATCTGCTCACTGGGTGTGGCACACAGTGGCCAGGCTCGTGGCGGGAAGGGGGTGGGTGAGGGCAGATTCTCTCCTGGCCTGCAGCCTGCTCCCTCCAAGGGGGAGGCAGAGTGGGAGGGTTAGAAAGGGCCTTCTCATTTGTGGAAACTGCAGCCCAGAGAGAAGGTGATTTGTTCAAAAAAGTGGTAGGGATGGCACCCGCACCGGCCTTCCTGCAGGGCTTTCTCCTGTGTTGTTTTGTTTTTCTGTTTTCCGTTTCTTTATAGTGATTGATTTCCCAGGAGCATTTGGGACAGCTATTTGTTGCAAATAAACCCTAATCACCTGAGGCCCAGACCCCTGCACCGTTTCTAGGCCCCGTCCTCTCCCTTCCTCCTGAGTCTCTGTCCTCTGTGAGCTTCTCCCGGGAAATAGCGGCCTCCTGGCCTCACCTCTTGTCTCAAGGGTGACGCCATCTTCAAAGCACGCGCTTAACAGATGCTCGATCATGAGCCTGAGTTCAGGTCTGTGCATCTAGAAAACTGAAGTGAGTACTTGAAAAAGATGAGGAGGACAGCAGTGAATAATGCATAATCTGCTAGAGCTTTCGGATTCTTCTGGATGAGGGGTGGGGGCGTCCATGAAACTTTCGCATGAAACCTTTTCTAGTGATCTGCTCTTTGCTTGCCACCGAAGCCCTAAAAACATGAATGCCTTCCCTTTCCATACCAGCTCTCAGTCTAGGAAGTACTTTGTTAGGAATTCTTACATGATAATTAAATCTTAAAAGACAAGAGGGGTAACGTACCCCCATTTTCACAGGTGAAAAATCCTGGGCTTAGAGACATGTAAGTGACTTGCCCATATAAGGTCACAGGGCTGGTAGACCAGAGGGAAATCAGGGCTCAAACCAGGACTTCAGCACCAAGCATATCATTGTTGCCACTCTACCAGGTTGGACCTCATGACATTAAAACACAGTGTTGTCTTGCTGGCGAGGCTCAGTGATTGAGCATCGACCTATGAACCAGGAGGTCACAGTTCGATTCCCGATCAGGACACGTGCCCGGGTTGTGGGCTCAATCCCTGGGCCGGGGGGAGGAGGGGTGCAGGAGGCAGCAAATCAATGATTCTCCCTCATCATTGGTGTTTCTGACTCTCTCCCTTTCCCTTCCTCTCTGAAATCAATAAAAATATATTTTTAAAAACATACACACACAGCCCTAACCGGTTTGGCTCAGTGGATAGAGCATCGGCCTGTGGACTAAAAGGTCCCAGATTTGATTCCAATCAAGGGCATGTACCTTGGTTGCGGGCACATCCCCAATAGGAGGTGTGCCAGAGGCAGCTGATAAATGTTTCTCTCTCATTGATGTTTCTAACTCTCTATCCCTTTCCCTTCCTCTCTGTAAAAAATTATATATATATATATAGTCACACACACACAAAAAAAAAACCCAGTGTGTACTTGCAGATTAAGTGGCTAGAACCACATAAGGATAGATTGACTCTCAAGAGCCGAAGGAGAAATACTGATGTCTCCTTGGTGCCTGAGAGCAATTCACTGTTTCCATCTCTCTTTCCCACGGCAGGACACAGTCATCTGCCCAGGTGCATCCATTTACCTGTCCTGGCCCCGGTGCCTCAGGAAAGGGGACATCCCCGACGAGGCACTTGGCCAGGTGCCCACAGACACAAGAGACTCATTTTCTCTCAACTCCACCAACAATTGTCTTATTCAGTGAAGCACAGATTATAATTTATTTTTTTCTAAAAACCAGATTCTTCTGCCTGAACTCGGAAAGCAGATGATCTTCGTAATGGCTTTTCCAGATGTGTGCAATCCATAATTTCCGTGTTCATTTAGAATAGAATGTCGTTCTCATCTTGTCAGTGATCTTGCTGTTGAATTAGTGAGCATAAGAATTGGGTTGACAGGAAATGCATGCTATTCCAGTAGCTTATAAAGCGAGTGCTACAGATTTTTGCTCACACCTCCCAAACCCAAAAATAATTTCGTTGTTTTAATCCAAGTCAGAGACAAATTTGGAGTCAGGAATGGGAAATCTCACCATTCATTTAGTGGAAATCCTGGTTTTGAAAATTTGTTAGAAATACTGGGGCATAGCAAGCCTTGATTTTTGAGGCAATTTTCATAAAGACACTTACTTTCAGATCACACATCTCAGCAGGTCAAGACCCATTCAGCACACAGCCCCTTTTCAAGGGTGAGCTCACTGAAGAATGGCCCTCACACTAGTTTCAGTCACCAGTGGGTCTTCCCATCAAAGGACAGAGGACTTCAGCTCAGATTTCACTCCGTTCTTCCTAAAAGTTCACTTTCCCACACCCACCCAAATCAGAGCAGCTCAGAGTGGATACAGAAGCACCACACACAGGGCTGTCATGTGCACCCACATTCTCAGGTCATGACACAGCTAGACTACTTTATGCTGCACATGGGCTCAAGCCACCAAGCCCTTCCATCTAATAATTCGTTTTGTTTGTAAATCTTGCCGTTCTAGTTCAGACATCCTCCCATGTCCAGTTTATGGAAGAAAGAAAGAAAATGGGCTTTCTGGGTTGGGGCTTTATGTGGCTCCATTCATCCCCATTCCCCCACTGTAACCACTGGCGTAGAGAATTCCAATCAGAGTATCCATCAGCTGCTCCTCAGGGTCTCAGGAAAGAAATGCTGAGTGCCAGGCCCCGGTGCCTTGCCTGGCAGCACACGGACAGCTCCTGATGGCAAGAGGGTCATGGTTTTGGAAAGGAGCAGAAGAGTAGCGACCAGCAAGGAGAATAAAACGTGGTAACTCCCGACCAGCATGGCTCAGTGGTTGAGCGTTGACATACAAACCAGGAGGTCATGGTTTGATTCCCAGTTGGGGCATATGCCCAGGTTTGCGGGCTCAGTACCCAGTAGGGGGTGTGCAGGAGGCAACTGATCAATGATTCTCATCATTGATGCTTCTCTCTCTCTCCCTCTCCCTTCCTGAAATCAATAAAAATATATATATATATATTTTTAAGTGGCAGCTAGCCCATCAGTTGACTGTTGGCAGGAACCCAGGGACACTGCTGTTTTACTCTTGAAAAGAGCCCTGGCCTCATCCGAAGGTGTAATCATCTTAATGGACAGTAACTAGGTAATGTTGGTTGCCTGGAGCACTTTGTCAACATTATCACAGCAGAGAGGCAAATGGACTAAGCTGTTGGAAATGGGAATTCTTAAACCCTCCCTTTCTGTCAAGCGTCACAATTTCAGTTCATTTGGTAGAAGCACAGTCATCTATCTCAATCTACAAAAGGACGTGTGCCTAAGACAGAATAAGCCCAGCGAGTCCCTTGCCGAGACTAGAATTGAGTCCCTTTTGTCCCCTATCAGGTGGGGACCATGGTGTGAGAATGGGGATTGCAGCCTTGTGGTGAGCCCTGGGCACTGCCAGGGAGCCAGGATGCCGCCTGGCTGACCACACTGGGCAAATCCCGAAACTGGAATGGAGGCCAATGGAGCTCAGGATGCCCAGCCCTCGCCCTCTAAGCTCGTCTTGATTAAGATAAAGGCTCCTTGGGGACAGGGATCATGGCCACTGAAAGGATGAAGGGACTGAAACAGCCACCCGGTTAGGACAGGCCCGTGCCACCATCAGCAGCAAGCTGCAGGGAGTAAGAGTCGGACCAGATCCGGCTGCTGTAACCATCACCTTTCCGTGTCTCTGAAAAACATCCAAGTCTCAGAAGAGTTCATTGGAAGCCGTGGAGTTCACGCTTGCAGGTGTTTGGAAATCCTAAGTCCCGCTCAGAGCCATTCCCCACCACGCCTGCATGGTGCGCGGGCCTCCTGCTCAGACACCTGGTCACTTATCTGTTGGGTCCTATGAAAACTAGGCAGAGACCTGAAATGCTTTTTTCTTTTTCTTTAAGACCTAACTTCCTGATTTCAAAAGAATTAAATGCTCATTGTAAAAAATAAAACCAGGCATTACATAAAATTCTCCATGCTAGGACCCTCACTGGAAAGGATACTGCAGACAGTTTGGGGTATATGCCCACAGATTGTCCATTTTTTTATTAAGACCCTTGGTTGCCAGTGACAGAAAGGACTGAAATAGCTTGAACAAAAGGGGATCTTGCTGGAAGGATATCGGATCTCCACACAGGAGCCGCGTCCCGGGGTGAAGGCAGAGAGGCCCTGAGCACAGCCAGGCCAGCCCACACCCAGCCTGCCCGGCCCCCTTCGCCCCCTGCTGTGGGCAGTCTCCCCAGACGGCAGGAAACCAGCACACCGCCTGCCTTTGTGCACCAGGCTGACTGGTTTCACTGGTGTGAAAGTAAGAAAATCCTGGGGAGGGACATCTTACCAGCTGGGCTTAAGGGCCTCCCCCGGTCACCTGTGGCCACGGTTCCCACAGGAGCCACGTGGATGGAGAAGAGAAGGGGTAGGTCCAGAAAGAAGAGAGAAGGTATGCACTCAGCAGGCCAAAACATGGCATCTTTAAAAATGTGACACTCACCTAATTTTCAGCCTGATGAGGGTCCTGTCACGTGGACTCCCTTGAAACTTGCTTTTTCCCCTTCACATTATGTTTTTATACATCTTTCCACGAGCCCTTTGTCAGCCGCTGCAGCTTTCCTTTGGGTGGCAGTCACCGTGTATTTATACAGCCTCCTCCTGGTGCACAGCCGTATCCGGTTTTTCACTGGTGGGACACTGCTGCCGCCGCCACCCTTGTCCTTCGGCCTGCCCCTCTAGTGCTGTTGCTGTGGGACCAGGTCTAAGAAGCAGAATGTGCTGGCTCAAAAATGATTGACGTTGCAAATGGCCAATAGCCCTCTGCGCGTGGTCAGTTACTCTGCAGCCAGGGCCTGGGAGGGCCTGTCCCCCACACCCTGCCTAAGACTGGGGCCCATACATTTTTTTTCAATTGGGCTAATCTGTAGGCAAAACAATACCCTTGATATTTTAATTGTTATCAATTATTAGTGATTTGAAAATCGTTTATAATGTTTCATTTTCCTAATGCCAGGGACATTGTTAGCAACAGTATAGCTGTCAGGACACACGGTGTCTATCCTGGTGTGTTCCCAGGGACCGAACCGGGAATAGGGCTTCTGTTTTACAGATGCCTGCTTTCCAACACCATTATAATGGCATCTTTAAAAACGGCTGCAAAAATACAGACTCTCTCTCCTCAGTGTCTCGGTTTCTCTTTTCAATTCCCGCTGTTTCTCCTTCCTGGCACCCGGCGGTTTTTGAGGACTTTGGTTATCTGGCAGCAGATTTTCCCACGCCTGTATTTTGTTCTATAATTTTCCCTCATTTAACCTCCACTTCTCTTCCTGGAGAGTTCTGATAACCATTCGAGGGCATTAGAGACCTCAGAAGTTTGGATGGTGTTTAGTGCTTTTAGTCCTTCGTGACTAAGAATTGTCACGAGAGAGGGATAGAGAGACAGAGAGGCAGCCTTCTTCTCGGAGGACCAGAGCCACTTAGGAGTGGCTGAGTGGCCAAGCGTCACGTGGGCCAGCCCCTCCCTCCTAATGCAGTCTAAGTGTTTAGCAAAACAGAAGGCCAGTCTCGTGGCACTTTCCTTCTGAAAACAAGCTGCTCCTCGCTGGGGGCCAGTAAAACGAAAAAACTTCAGGAAAAATACATCCCTGGTTTTCAAGGCAAAGGAAACACCCTTCTAGCTTTTTCCCAAGACAAGCTGAGGAAGCTCCAAAAAAATGATTTTTCTTCTTAAAAGCAGGCAAGGGAGTTGTCTTGAGCACAAGGATGAGACATGGTGGAGAAGGGCAGAGAGGATCATTGAAACCAACGGCTCGAACCCACCTGCACCCACGTCCTGCTTGGCCAGGCAGGCAGAGGGCGGGTGTCCCGGGCCTGAGCAGTGCAGGCTTCCCCGGCTGCAGGCACCTGGGGGCAGTGCCCGACACAGAGCAAAGCCAGCGTGAGAGGGCTCAAGCAGAGCGTCACGGAAAGGACACCCCACGTGATCTGGCCCAGCTCCTCGCAAAACCAGAGCAAAACACAACACTGTGCAGCTCCCCATCCTGCAGTGGGCTGGGTCTTCGTCTGCAGCCCTTTCCACCGTCCCTCTCGGAGATCACGCACCGCCTCCTACCCTGCAAAGTGATTTATTCACTCTTGACTACTGAGATCATCCAGTGTTCCAGGCGGAGAGTTAATGGATGACTTAACCCTTGTCCAGCGCCGGCAGCGAGCCCTCGGGAGACCGCAGCGCCTTTGTCTGCAGGAGGCCAGAGAAAAGGCCAGTGGCTTCCCTCCTACCATCATCATGATCATATTCCGCAGTGGAACATTAAGGGCACAAAGCAGGATTGTAATTAACCTCGCCTGGTCTGCTCCCCGCTGGTGTCCTGGAAGGGAGAGAGGGGAGCTGGAGGGGTGTGGGGCCGGGGCACTTATCTTGAAATTCAACTTTCCCCTGGTAAAAGCATTGTAAAGCTCTGAGCTTCTGACGGGGGTAGGATCTGTGCAAGAGCTCTTCTGTTCTTTTCTCCTTTCCTTCCTCTCTGAACTCTAAACCCTTAGCAGAGATGGTAAAACAAAAGTCCTACCCTCTCCCCCACCAACCCCCACGGCTGGGGATCAAGCCCTAGGACCCAGAGGGTTCCAGGCCACCCTAAAGCCTGCCAGCCTCTGGCCACCCTCCCTCCCGTCCCCAGGTGGGTCTTGGTGGTTTCTCAAATCAGGTCAAGCACTTGCCGCCTTGCTCTCCCTCAGACGGGTTTTCTGGGTAACCTGGCAGGTGTCTGACATCCCTAGTGGGAGTTCCCGGGTCTAGTGTTGGCGCGGGGGGGGGGGGGGGGGGGGTGCCCCCTCCCCCAGAACCAAAGTCTCTGTGACAGCACTCGCTGGCTCTGCCTGCTTCAGGGCCCATGTCCCCTTTCCACAAGCAGGTGACAGGGGGATTCTGAGGATCCCCACTTCACCGCAGCCCAGAAAGCTTGGTGATTTACTCTGGGCCATGAAGCTGGGGAGTGGCGGAGGAAGTGCATTTACTCAGGTCTGTCTGGTGTCAGAGACCTGCTTGGAATCACTGGCACCCACCACAGCAGCCCAAGAGGGTAGTGGCCTCTCCCTAGAGAATTGGGGAGGGTCCCATTACCTCACAAGCTACAGTGCCGATGCCCACTTATCCTTCGGGGTAGACCAGTTGTTTCTGGTGTTCATGAGCTCCCTGTCTGAGGAGGAAAGAGTTCTCTGACTTGAAAACCACCCCAAGCCCTAAAATGTTCTCTTCCTCTCGTGCACGACCAGCTTGATAATGTGTCTCACGTGAGAGTGGACCAGCCCTGGGTCACACCTAGGTTATGGGAACGTTACATCTGCCTGAGTTAGGGGCCTCGTCACATCTGTTCTAGTGTAAGTTGAGGAGAATGGGCCTGAGCTCAGGGCAGCCAACAGCCTGTGGATGTCACTCCTTGCTCCGGGCACAGCTTCTCGCAACAGGATTCTTGGGAGGACAGAGGTGTGGAATGAAAAGGCTGTGGCCGGAGTTCAGTCCCACCAGTTTCCAGCCTTTAGACCAGACAAGCCATTTAATGACTCTGAGCCTGTTTCCAAATCTGTAATGACAGAGATGACAATGCCTAGCTGGCCTGTTTTCATGGGAGCTCGGGGTGCCTCTTTGCTCTCCTGACATCTTTCCAAAGCCAGTTCCATGAGGGCCACAGCAAGCATGGGCAGGTCCAGTGCAGGTCCCGGGAAAGGGCGGTAGGTCCACACCGGCTCAGATGCCCAAGGCCTGGCTGGGTGGAGTGGGCCTCATTCTGAGCCATTGGGGCTGCCTGCCCGCTGCTGGCAAAGGCCAGACCCTCCTGAGGGCCATAGCCTCGGTTTTCCCAAAGCGCTCAGCCTCATGTCTGCAGCCCCTGCCCGGTCACCATGCAGTGTAGTGGCCAAGGGCCCTCTGGACCCATCTGAGTCCCTGTGGTGGACATTATACTCAGTCATTATTCTGGAGGGATGCTGGGGAGGCCTGGGAGCATGCCGCTTTCTCCGTTGTTGTGGCAATATTACACACACTATGGTTTCCATGGTACAAACCTTCGCTCTTCACTGTTGCTCCTCCTACGTCTCACCCCGAGGGGACTGCTGTCAGCAGTCAGGGACACGTGTGCACATACATGTATGTACACATATACACACAATCTATGAATCATGCCATAGGTATTCTGTTTTTCAACTTGCTTTGTTCCCTTAACACAGTGGTCAGCAAACTCATTAGTCAACAGAGCCAAATATCAACAGTACAACGATTGAAATTTCTTTTGAGAGCCAAATTTTTTAAACTTAAACTATATAGGTAGGTACATTGTTATTAACTTAATTAGGATACTCCAAAGGCTTAGGAAGAGCCACACTCAAGGGGCCAAAGAGCCGCACGTGGCTCGCGAGCCTCAGTTTGCTGACCACGGGCCTTAACATATCCCTTTTTTAAGTCCTGTCTACATATACACCTATATTTATGACTCACGTGTGATTTTTACCCTATTTCCTCACTTAAAACATCTCCACCATTGTCGTGCCGAAACTGGTTTGGCTCAGTGGATAGAGCGTCGGCCTGTGGACTGAAAGGTCCCAGGTTCGATTCCGGTCAAGGGCATGTATCTGGGTTGCGGGCACATCCCCGGTAGGAGATGTGCAGGAGGCAGCTGATCGATGTTTCTCTCTCATCGATGTTTCTAACTCTCTATCTCTCTCCCTTCCTCTCTGTAAAAAATCAATAAAATATATTTTTTAAAAAAAACAAACAAAAAAAAAACATCTCCACCATTGTCGTAATTACTACTCTAATGTCTACATAATTTCCCCTTTTTTTGCTGTGTACTGACTCACTAAATCCTCTATTCCATGAAACACCTTTGTGTGTATCTCATTGCTTTTGTGGAATTACTTCCTTAGGATTCACTCCTAGGTCCTGCACTGTTGTGCTAAAGGGTATAAATATTTCTGTTATTTTTTACATTCATTTCCTAAAAGGTGGTATCAATTTACTATGCCATGAAGAATGCCTTTTTCTCCCTGGACTGCCATCTAAATACTGTTGGAGAGACGGGGTGTGGAGAAGAGCGAGGAGAAAGGACCTGGTAGCGGTGACTTGGAAATGTGATGGCTTCTCCTTGTCTGTCTTCTCAGCACGACCAGCTCCACGGCCAGCAGCTGCGACACGGAGTTCACGAAGGAGGACGAGCAGAGGCTGAAGGACTACATCCAGCAGCTCAAGAACGACAGGGCGGCAGTCAAGCTGACCATGCTGGAGCTGGAGAGCATCCACATCGACCCTCTCAGCTACGATGTCAAGCCCCGGGGAGACAGCCAGCGGCTGGACCTCGAGAATGCAGTGCTGATGCAGGAGCTGATGGCCATGAAGGTATGGGGGTGGGGGGAGGGTTCGAGAACTCTGTTCCCATTTACTCCACTGTCATCGGGAGGAGAGAAAGGCCCCTGAGACAGGGCAGCTGATGATGAGAAGTCAGCCCTTTCCTGCTCAGAAGCCTCTCCCCAGGGGAACCCCAGCGCCTCGTTGTAGATGCGGACAGACAGTTCCAGTCAGGGGCTCCCTTGGGCCGGGGGTGTTCCTGAAGGGGTGAGCTGGCCTCCTCGTTCCCCAGGAGAAGCCACCTCAGACCTCTGCAGCTGGAGCAGCCTCTGAGGCCAGCGAGCAGGGCAAGGCAGAGGGCAGAATTTGGACGAGAGCCGTTTCCTGACACCCTTGTCCCTTGGGTGCCGCGTGGACCCTGCTCGGATCACAACACCCGCCGGCGCGGTTTGCTAGGGCTGCCCAGTTAGTGTTTCCTGGTAGATCTCCGGCAGTGCATCCTGGCTGCGGCGGCGTCTCTGGGGCAGGGGGTGCTTTCCGGGACAGCCGGTGCCTCCTACCAGGAAGTGTTAGTTAAGTGCGCCCTTCAGCAGTGCACATTTCTCATTTCCAGCCAGGATTGCCAAGCACAAGGCCTTCACCCGCTACGTGCTTTCTCAGGAGGCAGCTCTGGTACGATAAAGATTAAATCTGGGATGTGTTCCCAGTTCTTGGCACGGAGCTTGGAACTTCCTGAGTGACAGGAGGGTCTTGGTTAAGTCATGAGGTGACGTGGAAGGACCCCGATAGCTTCAGGACGGAGGTGGTCACCATACGGACCACGCACATGATGAGAGGGTTGACACTTTCAGCCTCTGGACCTCCAGGGAGGGGAGGAGGGCTGGAGATTGTATGCCATTGTGTGGCCAATGGTTTAGTCAACCAGATCATGACATCCCGATGAGAACACTGCTACTTGAAAAATAAAATGTGGGCACATGATGGAAATTTCCTAGAAGAGCAGAAATTATAGGAAGCTTGGAGAGAAGCGCCCCATCAGACCCTGATGGGGGCAGTTGTTGCCAGCGTCTGGCCCAGCCCCCAGCATCAAGTCAGCGCCCCTCCCTGCGTGTCCTGGGGTGTGTGCGAGAACTCGCTCACCGCTCACCGTCCCAGCGCTGTGGCAGAAGATAAGGTTGCATTTCCCCATTTCGTTCCAGACTCGCTGCTGAGAAACTCGAGTTTCCTGGGGGTTTTACTTCTTGTATATGATCTTTCCTGAACACCTTTTCATTTCCAGTGATTCACTCGGCCCCTTTTCAGATCCACTCCTCTTTCTTTAAATATCCTATCCTCGTTACAATTCCTCTTCCTTTATCTCTTTGTTTTAAATATTTATTTTCTAGTTTTTCACTTGTTATTTCTGGTTCTCACAAATGCTGCTTCTGCTTTAACCCGACTCATTTCCACTTTCTCTCTGTGTTTGGGGGAGAATGTTCGCACGTTCATCTTTGGTGAAGCTGTGTCTGCCGTGGGTCCTCGGGCCCCGGCGGGTAAGTGTCCTGGCTGGTGGTTCTGCGCTTAGATGTGTTGGGACCTGAGGGCACGAGAGGTTTAGGTTCCTTTTGTTACAGTTTCGGCTTAGGATTCCTGTTCCACGTCCACGCATGGCCCAGTGGTGGTTCTGATTCCTCAGAGGCTTCTCTTTCTCTCCCACCCAGAGCCAGAGCAGCGGCCAGTTCTCCTGCCGCATCTCTGGAAAGGAAACTTCCTCGTCTCTGATTCTAGGCCGTCCTCTGAGTCCTGGCGTGTCGGGTCTCAGTCCTGGCTCTGCCCTGCCCTCGAGTGGGTGCTACAAGCCCAGGTCCCGGGCCTCCATCTGGGCTGAGCCTCCGTTGCCAGCACAGCAGCCGCCTTACCTTTCCCCGTAGGCGTTTCCTCTCCCATCGCTGGCACCCACCTTTCCTTCTTCCAGGCTTGCCTTCACATTTGTGCTGGATCTGACTGTCCACGTTAGCTCAGTGTGCAGAGTTCCCAGGACCTTCAGAATCCTGTGCTTTTGGCAAAAGATGAGAAGGGCTCAGTGTGTCAAAACCCTTCGTTCTGGTTTTATGTCTCATCTGCAGGAAAGGTTTGGCATCTCCTCTTGGGTAGTCGCTGAGCACATTGCCTTCTCCGTGTCTAATGGCCCCCAGTCCTGAGTGTTATAAGCTGTGATGGGTGCCCGCTAGGTTTTCCCCCCGAGGCTGGCGTATCCAGGGCAGCACACCAGGCGTGAGGCTTGTCACCTCAGGTGAGGGTGACTCCGGGGTGACTCGAGTCAGTGACCGTGGCGAATCCCTATCAAGGCAGTGACTCAGCATTGGGAAGACTCCCCTTCAGTAAGGTCATGGAGGCAGCTGGGGAGCCTGGTGGTCATGTGATGGTGGGCACGGGCTAGAGCTTGGTGGCTAGGAGCCTGGGTTCTGAGCAGATGGCCTGGCTTCACACACTGGCCCACAGTTCACCCAGTGGGTGTATTCCCTCTGTGTGCCTCATTGTTCCATCCATAAATGGAGAGACTCATAATTCCTACCTGAGGTTGGAAGGATTAAATGACTTACTTTGTGTGAACATCTAAACGGTGTTGCGTGCTCACCAAGTACGGGTGATTATCATTGTTGTCGGGCTCTTGGTCCCAGCACGGCACTGTCCCATTTTGGAGTCACACTTATTCTCCACAAAAAAAACCTCTATTCTGGGTTCTCTAAGATACTTTGAGACGTTACTCATCAGTAAGTCACCTACGAAGGACTCTGTTTCTGTTGCTTTCATTTGGGGGCGATATCATTGCCGGGGGCGCTCCCTTCCTGTCTGACTCAGGTACAGGGCACCAAGGTTGCCATCAGGGGTGAACAAATATGTGGGTTGGTGCCTTGGAAAATGGCAAAGCAGACCCTACCTTGTGTGTAACCTCTCTGACCGACGGCGCTTAGTCTCCCCACACTGGAAGACTGGGTCCCACCCAGGCAGCGGAGCCCTTTGCAGGGGACAGGGACGGCAGCTGTTAGAAAGTTTCTCCTCATGGTGACCAGAATCTGCTTGCCTGGATCTTCTGTTCACTCATCTCAATTCTGGTCCATAGGGGACAGCGCGGGATTGTCTACAGGGCAGTCCTTCACGTGCCCTGGGACAGCTGTCATTCTCCTCCCCGCCCTTGTCCCCAGTGCAAGGGAATAGCTACCGCGTCCTTGCTTATAGCCGCAGACCCTCTCACTTGCCTGCCTTCCCCCGCTCTGTGTCCATCTGTAGGAGGAGATGGCTGAGCTGAAGGCCCAGCTCTACCTGCTGGAGAAGGAGAAGAAGGCCCTGGAGCTGAAGCTGAGCACCCGGGAGGCCCAGGAGCAGGCCTACCTGGTGCACATCGAGCACCTGAAGTCCGAGGTGGAGGAGCACAAGGAGCAGCGCATGCGGTCCCTCAGCTCCACCAGCAGCGGCGGCAAAGACAAGCCTGGCAAGGTAGGGCCAGAGGGGCTCAGGACCCCCAGGGCTCGGGCCTCACTTCCTGCCCCCTTCCCACCACTCACTGCCATGTGGGCAGGGCCCTGGGCCTCACTTTCCTTACTGGCGTAGGACCTGCAAGCCCTTCTAGTTACCTAGCAAATGCTGGCTCCTCCTGCCCTCGGTTTGTTTCAGGCCCAAGACTCGTGGGCATATGTGACTGCTGGTCTAAGGAGCGGCGGCTTCTCACAGCCCGCATGTTGGGGGGGGAGGGGTTGTGCCCCTGGGACAGAAGCCACTTGCTGATGCCATGTGGCAGTGAACTGTCACCCCCTAAACAGCTAAGACTTTGAAGCCTGCTGCCCAACGCGCCACAGCTGCACTCTGCTCTCCTCTCCCTCCTCAGGAGCCAGGGCGTCCGTAACGTGGCTCCAGCGGGGCCAGCTCTCCCGGGACCCCAGCTGCCTCAGTTATCCGTTCATTTGACAAATTGTGACTTGGTCCTGGCCAGGCGCTGGGGGCAATTCCAGGTTTATACTCCAGCGGGGGACACTGTGGAGCAAATAGAGGATCCTAGCACAGTGACAAAATGTCCCAGTGGGAGGATCGCTCCCACGTGTGCTGGGAGGCCGCAGCCCAGACGCGGAATCGGGTTTGGGGGTTCGGGACCAGTTTCCTGAGCTGAAACCCTGTGGAGAGTGGGATGAAGAGGGTTGGGGGAAAGCAAGTCCACTCCAGGCGATGGAGTGCCTGGAGGGAAGAGGGATGGACACGTTGGCTGCAGACCCAGCTGCTGTGCTGGAGGGTTTGCCCCGGGGGTGACACAGCGTGGGCTTTGGGAAGGTCACCTGGCTTGCGAGTGCACCATGCAGCTTCTGCCCCTGTGGGCAGGGCCTGCGCAGTGCTGTTTTATAGAGTAGGCCCGGCTCGGGGAGCTGGTTTCCTGTTCCATGCCTACCCCGTGAAACTCTGTGCAACCTGTTTATTAGCAGTCACCTGGGGACAAAGCCCGAGAGACAGAGCCCCAGTGTGTGAGCTCTCAGGGTGTGGTGGGAACGGCTCTCGGGGGTCCTGCCAGAAGCCCACAGAGCCTTTTCCCCTCCTTCCTGGTATTTATTTTGACTGAGGGAAGCACTGTTTTGTGGAATGGCTTCAAAGTACAGAAGTCTCTTTGATGGAAAAGGCCGGATGATTTTTTTTTAACATTAGAGTAAGGAGCATTATAAAAGTATCTTGGGTTGTTCAGGTAATGAAACTAGAATAAGCTGATTCTCTTGTCCTTCAAATATTGGAACCATTTACAGTTTCAATAAAATCTCCCTTCTGGGCTATTCATTTTCCTTATTTGTTGGTAGATGAAGCAGACTGTCCAGAGCCAGGATTGGAGAACTGTAAGGAGTCAGAGTCAATCCTTTAGGGCAGTGGTCGGCAAACTCATTAGTCAACAGAGCCAAATATCAACAGTACAACGATTGAAATTTCTTTTGAGAGCCAAATTTTTTAAACTTAAACTATATAGGTAGGTACATTGTTATTAACTTAATTAGGGTACTCCTACGCTGGCCTTTGCTAAAAACGTCCTCAATCTGATTCTACACATCACAAAATATTTTCTCAATTTTTTTGCATGATTTTAAAAATAGAAAACAATTCTTAGCCTCTGGGCCTTATAAAAACAGGTGACAAGACAGATTTGGGTCCAGGACATCCACTCTTGCTCTATAGATAGGGTCCCTGTTGTAAGACTTCCCCCAGACAACAAGCTGGAACTAAGTCTCACCCAAGTTAGGGCATTAGGTCTTTGCACTTCTTGTCTCCCTGCAACAGATACTACCGCGCATGTTCAGGGAGAGGCATGGGCGAGACAAAGCTGTTCCTGTCTTTAGGAGTCTTAGGAAATGTTCACATCAACGGGAGTTGACATACAAAAAGGGAGGCTGCTGCAATCTCCCAGCGTCCATGGCCTGGGGCGGGGTGGGCTGGGTCTGCAGGACTGCGAGAGGGAGGGAGAGCCATGCAGGTGGAGGGCTAGACAGAGGGAGGGGACCCCCTGGGCGTGGTGGCGTTTCTATATCCAGGGCTGAGGGAGACACAGAGCCCTCCCGTCGTCTGGATTTCCAGCATCAAATTCGCACTTCTGTGCAGCTCTCATCCCAGCACCATGTAACTGTTTACATCAGGTAAACGAACACCTACAGCGATCACAGGTGATTTCTTCGCCAGCCTGGGGTGCTGTAGGTGCTCAGTAAAGGTCTGTTGAGCAAACCGTCAGATGAGCACCCTCCCCAGCCATTGTCCTGTGCAGCGTGGCTGCGGCTCTGTTAGAGCCCGCGGACGGGTGTGATGCTGTTGGAGAAGTAGTGTGACTCTGTAGGATGTGGGAGTTCATTTGGTTTGGAGATGCCAGTGTCCTGATCAGATCTATCACATGGGAGGGTGCACTCCTGCTTTCCTCCTTCTTTCTGGGTTTCCTAGGGATTACACTGACCTCGCTAAAGCTCCTAACGGTGGAGAAGACTGGTTCTCTCCCCAGGAGAAGTGGGGCTGGGGGAGGATTCTCACCTGCTATTCCCCACTTGTCTCCATGAGTACGAGAGGCTGGCTCAGTGGTGAAGAGCCCTGATCGGCGGCAGCCCCCGACCTAGGTTGGGATCCTCACTTCTCCCTGTCTTGGCTGGAGACTTGGGGCAGTGTGGCCTCGGCCTTCGTTTCCTCCTGGGTAGCATGGGGATCATGATAGCACCTACCTCAGAGTATCACCATGATGATTAAGTGAGAGGATATGTGTGTGGCCACTTAGACCAGTGCCCGGCTCCCAGGGAGCGCTCGGAGCCCACAGGGAGTGGTCGGCACCCACGGCCAGCCTGCGGAGGTCGGAGGTCACGGCCACCTAGAGCGGAATTGTCACTTCCCATTGGCTCCAGGTCTAACAGGCATGTGCTTGCTGTTCTCAGGAGTGTGCTGACGCTGCCTCCCCAGCTCTCTCACTGGCCGAACTCAGGACCACGTACAGCGACAGTGAGCTGGCTGCAGAGTTCACCAGTGCCATCCGTCGGTAAGCACCCTTCCCAGGACCCCAACAACCACTGATTCTGGGAGCGAAGCTTTACTCCTTCTCTTGCTGCTCAGGCCAGCATCCAGGATCAGGAAGGCAGAGCTTCAGCTATATCACCGTGAGGTTTGGCTCACAAGTTGAGTTTCCTTTCAGTAATGAAGCCTGTCGTCTCTTTAGTGACGGTCCTCCCTCTGTCCGGTCCTTGCTGGTGAGACGTGGAGAGCCATGTGGGCACCAGACCTTTCAGAGGGGGGGTGACGGGCGAGGGTGTAGGTGTCACCTGCAAATGGAGAATGTCCCTTTCACTGCTTCTTTGTTGTGTTGTTGCCTTGGCTGGAACCTTCCTGACGGTGTTCAGTGGTGACGATGGAAACGGGCATCTTGGCCCTGTTTGCAGCTTCGGTGGGAATACTGCCTCCGCATCGCCGCTCCTTCCCGCCAGAGGCCCCGTTAGTTCAGCTCTGGGCATTTTGGGGATGATCTCTGTCATCTCTCTAGTGCTGTGCTGTCCTCCTGAGGAGAGTTATTATGCAGATTCTAAAAGGCTACTTTGCCTGCTGTATTGACAGTTTCCTCACATCACATTCTCCTTAGAGTTGAGTTTGATGACTCTCTCTTGGGGTTGGTTCACAAGCTCACGTTCTCGGGGCCCCTAGCAGCTCCTTAGGCGGCATCTCTGACCCTGGCCCCTCCCGTCCCGCTGCCAGCACCCGAGGCTACAGCCCGCGCGGCCCGCCTTCCCTTGCAGTCTGTGCTGTGGTTTCCTTTTTCGAGAAGAATGAACGTCTTCCTTGCCTTTTCTATGATTGCTCGTCATCTCTGGTATAGAAAGAACACTCCTTTCTGACATGTTCAGGGACTTTTTAAAAACACATTTCCCATCCTTTCTGGGGTTTGGGATGAGAGGGAAGGAAGGCTACAGGGCACAGCCTGCTGTCCTGACCCAGCCGGGCAGTTTAGTTTACAGCATGGCCTCCAGGCCGACAGTGGGCGGCAGGAAGGCTGCCTCGTGGGAACTTCATTACCCCCGACTCATCTTTCCTTCCAACTTGCACTCGCCCTGGTTTTACACTGCCAGTGCCTCTGGCCATGTGGTTCGATTTTAACTGCTTGGGTTGAGGTGGGGAGAGAAGCTTCCTGGGAGAACTCTCGGCGATTCGACAGCTTCCTGTGCCAGCAGCATGGGGGCAGACCCACTGCCTCTTCCCACTGGGGGCCTGTGCGTATGGTGTCCGTCCGCTAAGCCCCTTCATTTTTTTAAATTTCCCAAACCTCAGAGGCATTTGTAGGCACAGGAGGATGCAGGTTCTGCTGACTCCATACAGAGATCCCATGTACTCAGTCGGCACAATGGGTTTCCAATAACCAGTCTTAAGTTGGTTAGCATGGACTTCTTCTCATCAGACCCAGATAGATGGAGCCAGGACAGAACCCACAGGGCCACAGGAAAAAGAGGTCATGTGATTATATGGTAAATAGAGCTCAAAAACGGGAATAATCATTTCATGAGTTTATATAACGCAGACACCTGAGGGCTAAGGCTTGGGGATGTTTTTATTGTTAAAAATCAAGTGGAAACTAACACCTTCTTTGAAGGAATTAAACCACTGAGCTAGTGGTTGAAGTCAGTTGAGGGAAACTTCCCAGCATTTTCAGAAACATTTCTCGCTTAAAAAAGGAATCTGTGGGCCCAGGCATCCAGATTCAAGACATATCATGCCGTGTTTGAGCATGTTATATGATTCCACTTATTTGTATCTTCCTCTTGACATTTTTTCCAAAATATTAAATAATAGATTACAATGGATAATTTGGAGGAAATGACAAGGTGCTATGATGTTACAACTCTGAGACATTTGCTTAGGTGGGTGGGCCTCTCGGAGATGACCTTTAAGCTGAGATGAGGAAGAAACGTAGCTGAATGGAGGAAACACATTCCACGCAGAGGGAAAGAGCTCAGTGTGTTAAGAATTGATGGCATTCCGGCATGCAAGGGCGAGAGGGTGCCAAAACCTGGGTAGGCAGGAGGCAGGTCATGTAGGACCTTATAGGTGAAAGTAAGACCACAGACTTCATTCCAGCTGCAGGCAGAAGGCACTGAAGGGCAGTTGTCATATTAAAAAGTTCTTCTGGGTGCTCAGTGAAAACCAGACTAGCGTGCAAAGAGGCAACGAGAAACTATTAGGAGGCTCTGTGGTCACTCAGGGGAGAAATGATGGCGCCTGGGTGGCTGTGGCGTAAGTGGAGTTTTGGTAAGTGGGGTTTGCTATTGAATGGATGAGGAGGTCCAGGGCAAGGGAGGAGCAACGGCTGACTCAACAGGTGTAGCAAGTGGGCGAATGGTGTTGCCATTTGCTAACAAGGGAGGAAGAGTGATTTGGGAGAACATCTCAGAATCCCACCTTAGACGTGTTAAATTGAAGATGCCTGTGAAGCAGAGATGTCAAATAGACAAGTCCAGAGGCCCAAGGAGAGGCCAGAGATAAAGATTTAGGAGTTTTTAGAAAAATAAGTGGGAATGGGGAGAAGAAACAGTAAGCTACAAAATATGGTCCAAGCCCAGGTCTTCCATACGCTGAGTATTTAGGGTTGGAGCAGAGAGCGAGGAGTCAGTGCAGGAGCCTGGGGAACAGCAGTGACACAGGAAACCCAGGCACTCCAGAGGAAAGCCATGCTCGGGGAGAGGAGACGGCCCGACGGGGAGTTCAGGACAGTGGAAACTTTGGATGTGGCAGCGCCGAGATCGTTGGTCACCTCATGAGCAGTTTCAGTGGAGACAGAGCCAGGCAGGGTTAACAGGTACAAGGAAGTGAGGAAGAGGAACTGCACATGCAGACAATCCTCTCAGTGACTAATTCCATGTAATGAGCAATTGCTAAGAAGTTTCCAGGCCTGTGGCTGCATGGCGGTGACTCCCTGCGGTCTGGTCTGATTACAGCAACTCTGAGAGGTTCCTGGTGGCTGCAGAGCCACTCACTACCTCATCAAGCCCGGGCTCTGGCCCTGGTGACTCCCCCAGCTGCTCATTTGGACTTTGTGATTAAAGGAGTGCAGCTGGCCTTTTATTTCAGGGAGAGTGCCGCCTCCTCCCTGATTGCTCGGAGAGCTCCGCTCCAGGCTCCCCAGGCACAATGACCAGCATGGCCGGCCGCAGAGGTCTGTGTGGCCCGGTGTCCTGCCCAGCTCACTTTACTGGCAAGTCACCTGGTTTTTCTCATCACGTGCAGGCTACCACCAGGAGTCTGCCTCACATCCCCTGTGTATATGCCACTGCCTAAAATCGTGTTTCACTTAAAAAGAAAGAAAAGCACCTCCCTGTCTGTGTGGTTAGAGTAAAATTCATAGGACCTTTTGTGACCAGAAATAACCTTCATTTTTGGTGGAGCGGGATCACCTGTACCTGAAATCCATGTGCGTGCTGGTGATGTGGGTGTGCCTGGTCATAGTGGGGTCCGGGACTGTCTTTGTACTTGGTGATACAGGCGTGTATCTTGCGTGCCTGCACTACTGGGAGTAAAGAAGCAGGGAGGTGAGGATGGGATCACACAGTTCTGGGCATTCGAGAAAACGGTTTATGAATGTGTTACTATCGAGGGAGCAGATGGAGCATGTGTGTTTAATTTTTACTTTCTCATCTTTGTGGAGTCTGCGGAAGTGCTCTTTGGGGGCTTCTTACCTTATTGGACAAACTCAACAGATTCTTCCTTAGCTGAAGGCCAAGCAGATTTGAACTAGAAACCGGACAGAACTGGACATGAATGGTTGAGGTTCCAAAGCGACGTAGGACTAGCAGGCTTCTGGCTCCTACCCGGGTTGTCCTTTGAGAATCCGAGGAAGGCTGTACTTCATACTGTAGAAAGTGTGCCCGTGCGCGTAATCATGCCCATAGACCGAGTTCCAAGACCACATGCAGCTCATCCACAGACCCATCCAGTTTCCCAAACTTGCCTGATAATAAGAATCATCAAGGGCACTTCTTAAACTGCAATTCCTAGACCTCAGCCCAAACCTACTGCATCGGAATCCAGGGACGCGCCCAGTACTGTGACTGTAAACAGTGCTCTGGAGCTAGTAAATCACTCCAAGCCACATGTGTCATTGTAAGTTTTCCAATGGCCACACTTAGAACTGCAAGAAAATGGTGACGTTAACTTTAATAACAGTTAGCCCAATATATCCAAAATATTACCATTTCAACATGTAATCAGTATTTTTTAAATTATTGCAATATTTTAGTCTTTTTTTTTTTTCCTGTATTAAATCTTCAAATCCCGGTGTGGATTTTGTACTTTCAGCACATCCATTTTGGACCCACCACATTTCTAGTGCTCAAATGCCCACCCGTACTGTGGGTCTAGAGCTGTTCTGTCTCAGTAGTTTAGTGTTTGTTTCAGTCCAAATGAGCAACAATGGGGACAGGACTTTGACTGCAGGCTCCTGCCTCACTCAAAGGAAAACAGATAAAGTAGCCCGCATTTGAGGTTTAAATGTGAGGGTCAGCCTGCCTTTGTATCTTTAGAGGCCCCGTGCACAAAATTCATGCATGGCGGAGGGGGCGGGGAGGGGCGGCCCTCAGCCTGGCCTGTGCCCCTCGCACAATCTGGGACCCCTCTGATAGGGTCCCTAGGCCTAGCTGGTGATCAGGGCCTATCGGGGCTTTCCTTCACACACACACACACCCTGCAGCTGGCCCCGCCCCCGACACTGCGACTGCTTGCCATCTGTGCGGTGCTCCCCCCCTCCCTCCCCGTCACCAGTCGCCTCCCTCTGTGAGCGACAGGCATGGGGTGCGATCATTTGGCTAGCCTGGGCCTCCCTCTGCAGGGCAATCGTGGGGCGATGGCAGGGCCCCCGACCAATCGCATCACACCCGCCTTGGCTGGCCTGGTGCCAGTGCATGTCATAGCGTGGTTGTCTGGAAGGTCGTCCGGACCATCCTTCTGCTGTTCGGTCGTTCGGTAATTTGCATATTACGCTTTATTATAGCTGACTGGCATCCTAATTCTGTCCCATAGTTCATAGGAGCAGTTCCCTCCCATCCCTGAGGCCTAGGGAGTTCTTATAGAGGCAGTTCTCAGCTCCCGGCAATGGCTCCCCTCCGCCACCCTACCTGGGGTTGGGCAGCATCTGTGAGGGCCTCTTGGGCCTCCCTGAGTTCTGGGCCTCCCTAAGTTCTGGGGTTTCAGCGGCCTGGGTACTAGGGAAGGAAGCCCTGTTTTGTTGGGGAGCTGGGTATGCAGGGTAGGGCAGGGATATGGATGTCACCAAGAAAGGGAGGGTGAGGGAGGGGGGGTAGAGAATAATGGTATTGCTCTGAGCAGATTTTCTTGTGAATTTATTGAGTTCATGGGGACATTTTTAATTCTTGTCATAATTTTGTTCCATTTGCACTATTAATCAACTTTAGAATGAAAAGGAATCAAAACAGTAACAAAATGCAGGAGAAATAACCCTTCCCTGTTTTTTTAAATTATTTTAATTACTTTAGCCAGAGGGAAGGGGGGAAATCTTTCATGTTCTTCTAACCTTCCTCAGCCCTGCGGGAAGGCTAAGGAGAATGGTTAGGGAAGGAAGGAGGGAGGGAGACATCCTCCCTAGACACCTGTCACCCTTCTGGTAGGAAACAGTGCCACTCTCAGATTCCTGTAGGAATTGCAACCCAATTTCCTGGTAGCTGCCAGGGCCCGAGAAACCTGCCTTCCCCAGCAGGTGGGACCCACTTTGCTGCCTCCCTGGAGAATGATGAGGGGCCGGTGGCCTGGCTTCACTTTGAAAGATCTTTCCCCTTCAACCTCACTCACAAAGCAGGCCAGGGGTTTTGTGTTGCAATTCCTCTATTAAATGTTTGGGAAGCTTGACTGGCACTGATAGTAGCTGGAGGCAGAAACATAAGATTAGAGCACCACTGAACCATCTCCTGGGTCCTCCTGCCCAGGTCACCTCCCTGCCCCTCCTACAGGAAGCATAGAGCTCACATACTTGACAAAAGCCTGACTTATAAAAATGTCAAGCAATGCAAAAGTGAGTGGACAATGAAAGCTTTCTGTCATCCCTCTTCTGTGCATTAACCTTTGCTGAGTGTTGTCTAGCCTTCTGATCTATTATTAGTACATCAGATTTTTAGTGTTTTTGCAAAAATGGCATCCAATAGAACTCTTCCTTTTTACTTGACAATTTATCAGACACCATGCTAATGCGTTTCAATCTGCACTTTTTTAGGTTGCAGAGTGGTACAGACATACCCTAACCTGGCTGCCTGTCCCCCCTCCCCCCAAAAGCTATTATAGCCAACTAGAGGCCCGGTGCATGAATTCGTGCACCAGTGGGGTCCCTTGGCCTGGCCTGCGGGATGGGGCCGAAATCGGCTCACCAACATCCCTTGAGGGGTCCCAGATTGCGAAAGGGCACAGGCCAGGCCGAGGGACCCCACCAGTGCACGATCAGGGCCAGGGAGAGACGGGGGAGGTTGGCCAGCCAGGGAGGGACTGTGGGAGGGCTCAGTCCCAATCAGCAGGACCCCAGTAGCAAGCTCACCTACCAGTTGGAGCATCTGCCCCCTGGTCAGTGCACGTCATAGTGAGCGGTTGAACAGCCTTAGCATATCATGCTTTGATTGGTTGAATGGCTGACCAGACACTTAGCATATTAGGCTTTTATTATATAGGATGCTTAAGTGAATGCAACTATGATCTCGTGTCTTTCAGCACCTATATTACCTCTGTTAAGAAAAATTCCTAGAAATCAAGTTGCTTAGCCAAGGGATGTGTTCATTTTTCATTGTTAGATACTGCCAAGTTGCCTTCCAAAATAATCATGCTAATTCACGTTCCTCACACTCACAGTGATCTTTCTAGGACTTTCTTCCATAAATTCTGGTTTCTTAGTTTGCTCCAGGGAACCAATACCTTCAGTGAGTTGTTCTGAAGAGGTTTTAACCATTGTCACTGAGAAGCTGCCCACCTCCCCCTATCCCTCCCCCCCCTCCACCCCCATGGTGCTCACCACTGGGGACACATGGGGAACCAAAACAAGTAAGATCCTTGCAACCCCAGAGCCTGCATCCCAGTGGGGAGCCTGTGGAGCTCAAATACATAAACCAAGTCATGGTATGGTGTGACGCGTGACACCATGCAATGACACTGAGTGATAGAGGCAGTTAACTTAGGTTAAGTCAGTTAACTTAGGAGACGGGGGAGTCAAATGAAAGTGCAAATATAATCTAAATACTTTCAAGGGAAACAAGGACCTTTGAAATGAGAGTAATATTAATTCTCCACCTTTTTGTTTTGCAAGGTAGGATCATGTTGATTTCAATGAGTCGGGATTTGTCCATGGCAGGCTGCCCAGAGCAGAGGTTTCTGTTCTTGAATCTGAAAGGTTCAGGATACGCTTAGGACACTTGGGAAAGAAGGGTGTGGAGACTGAGACAGGGAACTTCTAGATTAGCTCAGTTTCTCCACCTGGAAGGGCCTTATCGTTAAAGGAAGCAGGCTCAAACCGGCCTTCAGGAGTACAGTGAGGTGTTCTGGCTGCACTGAGGGGAAAGGGAACTCTTCCACCCTCTAGTACTATCTTCCTTTTCGTACCACCTCTTGACTTGGCAGGGTAAACACTTCCAGGGTAGTAGCCACCTCCATCATCATCTCAAGTTACTCTTGGCATGCTCTCTCCTTGACAGAGAAAAGAAATTAAAGTCCAGAGTTCAAGAGTTGGTGAGTGCCTTGGAAAGACTCACCAAGAGCAGTGAAATCCGCCACCAGCAATCAGCGGAGTTCGTGAATGACCTGAAGAGAGCCAACAGGTAAACCCCCTTGCTTGTGAACTCACACCAGGGAGAATGTTCCCGTAATTACTGGGAGCCACACTTGAGAATGGCAAGTCCTTGCCTGCCCTTCTTAGAGCCTGGTCTTCCCTACGGCACAGTGTACCACTGCCCACAGAAACCTGAGAAATGCTGGGTAAAGTCAAGGCCTTAAGCCAAGAGTGTTTGGGAAATGCAGCACAGAAAGTGTGTGGTCTGTCCCCTCTTACTCCAGACAGGAAAGTTCTGAGAAGGCATGCAATTTTTTAAAAACCTATTTGTGTTTATGCCAATGTTTTCCAAACAAAATTGGCGCCAGACCTTTTATTTACTACCCAGTGGGAACACTTTAGGAAGCGTTGCTCTGAGACAGCAGTCTCGAACTTTTTGGGCTCAGGACCCCTTTATACTCATAAAAAACTGAGGACTTCAAAGAGCTTTGTCCTTATAATTATTTATCTAATGACATTTCTCATTTTAGAAACTAAAACACAAAATTTTTTAAGTTTTTATTAATTCATTTACTTAAAAAAATACATTATTTACCTGTAACACACATGGCCTTTATTTAAAAAATAACTTATTTTACAAAAAATAGAGTGGTACTGTTTTTACAATTTTGCAAATCACTAGTATCTGGTTTAATGTAAGACAGCTAGAACCTCACAACTGCTTCTCTTGGCAACATATTGTTTTGAAATAGATCAAGAAAATCAGCTTCACAGAATGTAGGTAGAAACTATAGGACCTCACAAACCCCCTTTCTCCCCCCCGCCCCCCTCCCAAAAAAGGCTCTCAGGAAATTTGGGGGATCAGTCTTCAGGCCACACATAAAGAATCTGAATGCACATGGGGTGCTGCTTTGGACAGAGGGCACCAGGACTTACCTAGCCCTGGGCTCAACCTAGCCCTCTCTTCATGGGCTCCCAGGGAGGACCAGAGGCCTGTATTACTCTGCCTGGCTGTCATTAGCTTCTGGCCTGAGTGCTCTGAATCCCACCAGTCCACAGAATAACAGGAAGTTGTCTAGCCACTCTGCCCTCATCCCAGGTGAGGTTCTTGGTCTACAGTACGTGAGGCACTCTTTCCTGTAGCGTACACTTGACCGTCTGTTGCAGGCAGCCATGAACAACAGACAAAGTATTTGTATTTAAATGACTTCTGGACTTCAAGCTCCCTTTCTGCTTACTTTGGATGTGGCTAGTTTGGATTGTTTAAATCTCTGCTAATTTGTTACTGACAAGCCTCTAGCAGTCGAGCTGAATGAGTCATGATTAAGCCAAGAGATGATGGCCGTGAGTGTTGAAATACTAACCACTTGACTTCAGATTCTTACTGAGAGGCTGAGTGACCTTCTCTTCGGAGCAGTGCTGACTGGACCCGGCTACCCAGGGGACAGGATAGTGTGTGTGTGTCTCAGTGCTATCTCAGGTGAGTCTTCAATCTCATTCCCTTCTGTTCCCACATAGCAACCTGGTGGCTGCCTATGAGAAAGCAAAGAAGAAGCATCAAAACAAACTCAAGAAGCTGGAGTCTCAGATGATGGCCATGGTGGAGAGACATGAGACCCAAGTAAGGATGCTCAAGCAAAGAATAGCTCTGCTGGAGGAGGAAAACTCCAGGCCACACACCAATGAAACTTCACTTTAATTGGCACTCGGGCACCAAAGTCCTACCGGTGGAAGCTAAACTATAGCAGGTCACCGGAGAGAGAAGGGCTCCAGGTGACAGAGTACCTGTTGGGAAAATTAAGGACAGTTGGCAGGTAGGTCAGCACTTGGACAATGGAGTGCCGTGAACTCAGCCCTGGAGGTGAGCATCCCTCGTGACACTGTACAGACAGCATCCCGAGGATCCTGCTCCTCCACTACCGGCCCATGGACCGCATGTAAATACCCGCTCTGTGTGCCATGCTCAGCAGGCCTTGCTGCTGCCTCCAGCACTGGCTTTGTCATGCTCCCACCTTTCCTGCATCAGTGGTGTCCCAGATATTTGTCTTATTGGATTTTCCACTCTTTCCTTCTGTTTGGCAGACAGTGACCCTACCTCTGGCATCCCCCAATTTCTCCTCTTTCATTCTCCAGGGAAAAACTGACACACACAGGGGAGTGGGAAGGGTCTACATATCTAGAAGATTTGCTTACTGCAAGAAGGCTTTGATTTTCAAGTCCCACGTGTCAACTCTAAGATACAGGCTATCACTCAGAGATGCTCTGGGAGGCAGATTACAGGAAAATGGCAGATAGGTGTTCCAGTCCCAGATAAGAAGTTATAGGTAGAGCAGGCGCAGGCCTGTGCCTGAACAATTCTGTACGGAAGATTGAAATCGCCTTCAGCGCTCATCGTGGAGGTAGGGAGCTCTCTTCTGACTTTGGCATTGCCCCTACCAAGTGGAGCCTTATTAATAGCCAAGGCTTAGTGCTGACAGAATCCTGTTGACACGTGTATTGGAACTAAAATTTTACCTAATTTTTTTCACAGCAGAGGAGCATTTTTAGTACTTTCCACCCACCCCAGGGCACTACATAATTGCTATTTGCATGAATCAAAGCTTATCCACAAATTATATGTAGCTCTGGACCTGCCTCTAATTTCTGTAAAGCAGTGGTTCTCAACCTTCCTAATGCCGCGACCCTTTAATACAGTTCCTCATGTTGTGGTAACCCCCAATTTCATTGTTACAAATTGAACATAATTAAAGCATAGTGATTAATCACAAAAACAATATGTAATTATATGTGTTTTCTGATGGTCTTAGGCGACCCCTGTGAAAGGGTCGTTCGACCCCCAAAGGGGTCGCGACCCACAGGTTGAGAACCGCTGCTGTAAAGGAATGAGCCAGGATCCTGAGCAGGTAAGTTTCGCAGGCTGATCCCACCCATTTTAGAGATTGCTACTGACCTGCCAGTTCGACTCCGCTCCCGTGGCTATGAAGGGCAGGGGTGAGGAAATGGTCCTTGAGGCCTCCTTTTCTTCCCCCGAGACTTGGTGATAGTTAGCATATGGTTCTTAAACAGGTTAAATCTCAAGCAAAATGGTGACAGGGCAGGACCAAAGTACCTGAATTCTTTCAGGAAGGGCTTCCATCTTAAATTCATCATTCCTTTCCTACTGTAACCTTCACCCTTTCACTTTCTTTCTGTAGTACCTAAGGCCCACCCCAATGCCACAGTTTTGCTTTGCATCCCCAAGCTCAATGTCTGTTTTCAGAGAGCATGAATCAAGGTCCTCAGCCTTCTGCACAATGGACAAGGACACTAGCCCCAACCTTGGAGGGCAGAGTTTTATCCCAAAAGCAACCAACTTTCTCAGGTAAGCAGTGAGACTGCCCAATCTTGAAAAAAAGTCAACTGGTATCAGTCTGGAAGAACCAGCTTGTGGGTGTTTAGGTCACTAAGAAAGTGCCTGCTGGTTCTTGTGATTTTTAAAAATCAATTTTTACTCTGGGTAAAATTTCATGTTGTCACAAGGAAAATGTTTTGGCTGAAAAGTATGTCCAAAAATCCGTTTTCTCCATTTTTCCAGCTTGCCTAGGGGAATGTCCTCCTCTAAGCAAACTGGGCATGCATTCATGGCTTTCTGACACAGGAATCAAGTCCTGTCTGCTGGCCCATCTACCATTCTCACTCCAAGTTAAAGCAGAGAACCCACCCTTTTAGTGTTAGGTCATGTAACCCCTCCAGACCAGGTCTCAGCTCTTCCATTAAGAGCCCCTGTATTACTGAAACTACCTGGCCTCATTCTGAGTTTATACTTCAATATAATACTTTTAAAATATGTGCTGAGTAGGTGAAACTATTCCCCAGTAAAACTTACTTTTATAAATGTGTAGAATAAAAAAGCTATCATTAAACAGTTGATTTCCTTTCCTTGTATTTTTTCAAATACTCCTTTTTGAAGGTGAACCAACAGGCACTTGGTTATGCTAATTGTGGGGCCTACTAAAACTGAATTGATCATTAAATGATTGCAGGTGCCTGGGTAATTTTCCTTTTTTTATAACCTGAATTATTCTTCCTAAATAGAAGCTGGTTTATATTAACATCTCCATCAGGAGTAAAACAATGTTCTTAATTCTAACTTGTATGAGATTTTTTTAAAAAACTAGATCTTCGTATTTTTTATCTAAACTGTTTTCTCTCAGTGGTTTCTTACCCTTTTAGGCAGTTACCTTCTCTGTTCAGAGTTCAGTCTTTGTCCCTTAGAGCAATGGGTATGGGAAGAAAAGACCCATTTCATAGTTTTCTTGGAGTATAGTTCCCACCCACTGCTGAATGGAAGCAAAAATCAGCTAAGAGAATTCCATCTGTAGTACCCATCAACGTCTATGTGGGCCTACCAACTATATCTGATGTCTGCCAAGCCCCAAGTGCTCCAGCTACCAAAACTGCCATGCCACACACCTGTAAGTGGTAAGATTCCTCTTTGAGACTTTCACCAAAAATTATTCATGATTAAATATCTATGTCATCAGACAGCTGGCACTCATCATGCCCTAGAGCCCCAGAGGTATTACGAGGTGTCTCAGCATTGCCAATGCAGGTAATTAACTGTTTCATACTCACTCTCATCTGCTGGCATGTCAGGTTTCTGAAGTTAATATCCAGTGCTTGAAACTGGAAATATTATGTCAATAAAAAATTAAGTACCAGTTAAACATAATTGCTTAATTCTCCTTTGAGGTGCATGCCCTTCTGAGCTTTCCTCTGAGCAGTACTTTGCAGGAGCCTCAGAGTCACATGCAAAATGCATAACTAGGAGTATGGCTCATCCATGAAACTATTTAAAGTGAAAATTTCATCATGTTCACTAACTTTATAGCTGCATCTATTTCTCAATGCAGCAAACAGAGCTATAGTTAGTTTCTAGAGGCCAAAAGGGGAGCAAGGTCTCTGATGGTTAAGTTTTGCATTGAATTTAATTAGGGGATAATCATTGTATTGGCAAGTTTTTATTTGGGGTGGTACGGACATAAAATTGTTTTTTCTATAGTAGGTGACACTAAAAAATCATGTAATTATTTTTCTATTTATCCACAGAATGTCTTATTTCTTATTTGTCAAGAAATAATACAATCTCCACCTTTCACTGAGGCTTCCAAACTTACTAGTGCTCAGAAGCTGGGCAATATTTTGCAAGAGACAAAACTTGTTACAAAACAAAAATTATGCCTTTGCTGCACTCCCAGTTCTCACTAAAGTTTATCCAAATCCTATTCTAGATCATTTAAACTTCGTGTGTCTACAGGCCAAGTTGAAGTTAGCCCTGAACCTGCGACCTTCTGCAGTTCCTCCTGCTTCACACACTTAAAGTTACTTTCTGCCTGACTACATTTGTAGTTACTAACAGATATAAAAAGTTAGCCTAAAGCATATAACTGGAATTAGAATTATCACTAAGTGGCTGTTAAAATATAAACAAGTGGAAAAGGGTACAAGTTTGAATAGCAGCTGTTTTGCTAAATTCTGTGTAAAGAAAGCTAGTTTCACGTATACACAATTACATTTTAGTTAAGATTTTGCATGTGACCTTGACAAGAAATCATTCTGTTCCAGTAACAACAAATACTATTGGATAACCCTATCCTTGACCAACAGTACTTGATTTTTCCATAGTCGAGGTGGATACAAAATCACTGATCCACTAATCTTCTGAAATATCAGCTCAGCAGAATAGAACAAGCTATATACAAAATTCCCCCATATTCATACTGATGACAAGCATAGTTGTTCCTGGTCTACATTCACTTTTGCACTTCCTGCAAATTAAATCCATGTGGAAAATGTTCTGTTTGTAGAACTCCTGGTACTCACTTATAGTGTTCACGTTAGGACTGCCCAGTGAAAAAAGGGACCCTAATAATCTGCTTTGATAATGAAACATGTTCCTTTCTTTACTATTTCTGATAAGTTCTTAGACATTGTCAAGACTTACTTTGCATGAGATTTGTTTCCTATTTGAAAATGTGCTACTTTTAAACCACTTGAACTATTAGAAAAACCTGCTTGAATGTACTATCAGTTATTAAAGCACATGTGACTAAGTTTGTCAGTATTGTTCTACTGTTTGTACTAAAAGTCTCATTGGACAGTTGCTACTTAGCCCTGTACTATACCTTGTAATTTTTTAGATTTATTCATTTGTATGCTTTAAATGTTTCTAGATGCCTTTCATTGTATTAGCGGCTGTAAAATAGCTACTTTGTGTTCTTTGATATATAATTGTTTTTTAAAATCTCCATTTATTTATACAGAGACATTTATAATATTTTACAAACATTCTTATATTCTGAATAAATATTTCTAATTCCATGATGTACTGGAACTGTGTTCGTTAAAGGGAAAGGCTGTCCTTCCATAATACTGTTTGTCTAACACAATGGTGGGCAAACTTTTTGACTCGAGGGCCACAATGGGTTCTTAAACTGGACCAGAGGGCCGGAACAAAAGCATGGATGGAGTGTTTGTGTGAACTAATATAAATTCAAAGTAAACATCATTACATAAAAGGGTATGGTCTTTTTTTTTTAGTTTTATTCATTTCAAATGGGCCGGATCCGGCCCACGGGCCGTAGTTTGCCCACGGCTGGTCTAACATGTAAATATCAGACCTGTGGGGGTTCACACTAAATCACAGCCCTAGTCAAAGCGGGGCTAAAAGACATACTATAGTTAGGTTAAAACAGCCGAAGAAATCTCATTTATCACCAAATTTCTATTTGGCAGCCTTTTCAAGTTTAATATGAATGGGAAGTTATTAACGGATTTTCTTTTCCTTTTAAAACATCACTGAAACGGGGAATATAATCAAGAAGTGGAAATACAAGTAAATCATACATGACTACAAGAAAGGATGGCAACCAGCTTTGCAATATGTCCGTTCTCACTATCTCAAAGCAAAGTACCTCGACAAGAGTGTAATACCTTGGTCACTCTCAATATTTTAAATAAAATAAAAATATTATTGAGATCTCTAGAAGAGAAGAATATATTTCTTTCTACCCTGAGATCCAAGGACTGTCAAGTATTAAAAACTTGATTCTAGAACAATTCAAGAATTGCTAGATTTTATGTATCTTAACTCATTCTCAACCAAACTGTAATTGTTTTGAGACAGAAAATACATACCAGTTATTTTCATTGCAGAGACACTCTACAGTTTAATATTTCTTCCTATCAGATAAACATACCTTTATCTTATACTTATTTCTTATTGGTCCAAAGAGATGCAACCATAATATGAGCAACATGGAACCTATAACAAGTAATATCAGAAAACAAATTAAAAGGTAGTAAGTAAAACTGCCCAAGCAGCAAATTTATTAGTATTGCACTAGTCAAAATTTAACACGATGTTTTTACAGAAAGCCAGTATTTGAACAATCAACTGAAAAAAAAAGTTTTAAAATACAAAGAAAACCTTCCATTATTCAAATTGTATTTTGTAATTTCTAAATTGATGTTACATCAAAACACTTTCAAAAAGAACATCATAACTGTTAACACATAGGAATTTGTTCATTCTCTCAGTGGAGAGTACAGTTGGCATTTTTAGTCAACTTTGGAAGTGCAGTAATCCTGCAAACATTTAAACTCCCAATTCATAAACTTGAGTCTTCCTTTATTTATGATAGTTACACCCAATATAAATGAAAATCAGTCATTAACACCAAAGGAAAAAGACAAAGCTATTGTTCAACCAAGATGTAATAATAAATCCATTCTGATATAACTACATGGTGAACCCAACAGGTATTTGGGGGTTCCTTTTCTGCTCTCCCTGAATGTTTGACAACCAAAACAAACACCAAGAATTTCATTACTACCACAGACAGAATCACTCTAATGTAAAGTTTACTTACATAGTCTTTCTGCAAACATTAAAATGTCCTAAGGTAAAGTAATGAAATGCTACTATTAAGGCAAAAATTAAATGTTAAATTTCACTTAAAACCAAAGTGATTATTGAATAAAGTTTACAAATCTATTTAGTTATCACATTTATTCTAAAGTACAGTTTTCTCAATTGAATATCATATACTTAGTGAGACCATTTCATCAATTTTTTTGCCAGCTTTTTAAGTTCCAAATAAAATAATTTGTTTAACATGGCTCAACATAAATGTTTTCACCTTTTTCAGACTAAAACTATTCCCAAGAAAATTATTTTAGGACTACATATTTCCATGAACATTACCTAGTCCTCATAGCATAAAAAACACTTGTTCATATCTTGTTTTGGAAATAGGCAGGGTACAAAAAGAAGTGAATTCTTAACTCCCTTTCCCATCCAAACTAAAGAGTGTGCCCTTATTCTGCTTAGATGAAAGATAGATTTCACTTAAATTAGCTACTACATGAATTATAATTCCATTTGATTAATCATTTTATTCTGAAATAAGATTGTTTGAAATTTTAAAGCCAACAAGTAAAATCAGCAACCTGAATTGTATGAGTCAGTACCTACCAAAGACAATTTTATAAGGTATTAAGCCAATAAGCAAACTTTAAAAACATTATAAGGAAATATATATGTATGTGTATATACACAAATATATGTATGTAAAATAGTTCATGATTTTATTTTCCTTCCCTGTTACTGAAGAGTTTGTAATATTTATCAAATAGAAGTCAGGTTAGCTGCCTCCTGTCCTAACTCTGAAGAGAAATATACGCAAAAAGTAACATTAAAGACACAGTTCTTTGGACACTTGCATTTGAAACTAAAAGATACTTGTGCAAGATGCAAACACAAACCCAAAATGAACATAAAGATCATGGTGCCCTAGGACAGTGGAAAGATGTGCTCTGTGCTTTTCCATCCGTACATATCCTAGGTAAAGTACACAAAGAGTATGAGTCCACAGCTACTCACTATATCAGCACATCTAGCCAACCAAACTGCTGAGGAAGAGTTATTGCCTCTCTCAATTTCATTCACCATTGCAAACCTTTGCTTTCATTTGCTGCCATCCAAAGTCTATTCCTAAATATCACAAAAGCATAAGCAAAGATATCATTTTACAAAGAACTAGCTAACTACTTAAAGCTTGAGAAATGACTAAATGTAGATTTGTGCCACAAATGTTTCACTCCATGCTTTGTAGCTTTAAGACTGCTTTAGGACCTTGGGTTCAATTAATTAAAAACAGATGAGATTCCCTTCTCCAGGTGAACCAGTCCGCTGAGCTCCGACATGGACAAGGCTGCCAAGTCCGCTCCCGGCACGAAGAAGGGCTCCAGTGCACAGAAGAAGGACAGCAAGAAGCGCAAGCACAGCTGCCAGGAGAACTACTCGGTGTACGTGTATAAGGTGCTCAAGGGGAGGCACCCCAACACCGGCATCTCGTCCAAGGCCATGGGCTTCATGAACCCCTTCCTCAAAGACATGTTTCAGCGCATCGCAGGCGAGGCATCGCGCCTGGGGCGTCAGCACAGGCGCTTGACCATCACGATCCATGATATCCAGTCGGCCGTGCGCCTGGTCCTGCCACAAAAGCTGGCCGAGAAGGCCTTGCAAGAGGGCATGGAGGCCGTCACCAAGTACGACAACTTCCAGTGAGGCGCTCAGCCCCTGTCACACCCAAAGGCTCTTTTCAGAGCCACAAAAAGAAAAAAAGAAAAAAATTTAAAAAAAAAAACAGATCAAATTGTTAAATTCTACCTTAAAAAGTCCACACCCTAGGAATATTAACTAAGACCTCTCAAAGACTGAGGACCAGCAGAAAACAGCTCATTTCACCCTAGAAACGCATAGATGTTTTCTTTATTCCCAACCCAATTTGACAGCCACATACATAGAGACTTAAAACAGCACTGGTGTCTACAGCCCTCCAATGTGCTTACTGCCCAAGGGCCATAGTGAGATCAACTCTCAAAAGCAAGACATTATCGCTGCTTTACAAATGCCCACAGTGCAGATTCACCATAGGTATGCAGTACAAATAAAAAGAAAAAATTCTTCTACAATATAAGAAGAGTGGGGGGAGTAGGGAGAGGGATTCTATGGCCTATTCCTGGCTAGTCACACCAAGAAAAAGGATTAAAAAACAGGTCTTAAAGTGGTACAACAGATAGGAGCCAGTAACTAAAACACCCAAACACCTGCAAGAATTCTCCCACCAAAAAAGCAGCACATCTATGCTCAGGGCCTTATTCTTCCCCCACTGGACTGAAAGACTAGTCTACTAAGAGGAGGGTCAATGTGGAACAAAATTATAAACAAGGGCAATTGGTTTCTCTATTGAATCCCTTTCCCCAGAGCACCCCTGACCAGCACTACACAGTCAATACAAGCACCTTGTCAAGGTTAGTGCCCTTTAGATTTTTCTTTCAAGCTGCTACCACAGCGAGACCAACTTCTCTGCTAACCACAGAAGACCAAAGACAAATGGAATCTCTTTTAACTGGCAATTTCATTAATATGGGGATCCAGATCAAAGATTTGATTATGAACATTTCTCAAGATATAAGACTTCCACTCTTTATTATAGTTTTTTTATTCATACTTCTTTGTACTTTATGTTAAACTCTGAGCCACTAAGCTCATGGAAACCTGCCCTTCAAGTCTACTCCCATGCGCGAGAGGTAGCTTTACTGTTTTCCCTAACTATATACAGACTACTATTTCAATGGCAAATGCTGTTAGTCACAAGGCAACTAGATGGAAAGGAATGGATCACCATACAGGACAAATGTATACCTTCCGCACGAAGAGACTATGACACGTCTGACTACGGCTGTGTGTGCTCTGGGTTACACTTGTGAGAAAGCAGGGCACTTCAGTATGGCTGGAATTGCAAAGTGTCAGCACTGGAAGGACCAGACTCCCAAACACTGATCTTTAAAGAAAGAAAATTTACTTTAGATTTCCTGGATTGCTTGGCAACTATACATAAGAAAAATTAACTATCCAGAGCTAGAAAACACCTGGTAATGGCCATGTAATATTAAGACTCTGCTTGGGGTAAGCAGTGCTCACAGTTCTATCATAGTACATCATAAAGCACTCAAGAACTGATTTATCTCCTCTAATTTTTTCCTTACACTTCTTTCTGCCCAGCAACTAAACTTATTCCTTTAGGGCACTTTGATTCTAAAATAATAACCTGTCATATTTTTTGAAACTTCAATCCAGAACTCTACTTTGAAAGCATGGACAGACCCTTTCCTGGCCATTGGCAATCTGCCATCTTTATGACAGAGGAGTACAGACTTTAAGAGTAACTCAATTCCAGGAAAAAAAGGACTGAGAAAGCCCATCATAATCTCACTTTTAGAATGTTTGGCAACTATACAAATGCACTTTAAAGTCTTAGGACAGAATACAAAATGAGGAGCTCCAGTTAGGCTTTACTAAGCTATCAGGAATAAAGTTTAACAAAACTTGTTCTACTAACACCTGTTTACCTAGAGACAGGTAGTACTTAAAGGTAAAGGATACTGATACCATCAGATAAAATAAGAGTTTGTCTTATTTATCATTAAAGTTTCAGCAATACATGAGCCCCTTTCTCTAGGCTAGAAGATAATCCAACTCAAAATTACTAGGAAACATTTATTTTTCTCCAACCAGAAAAATGTTAATGAATCTGACCTTATAACTATCCTATATAATAAAGAGCTAATATGCTAATGGTTGTGACACCCTCACACTGTAATGACCATTCAGCAGGAGGCTGTGTGCGAGGTGAGGCGGAGCCGCCACATTGCTCCAGAGACAGGGCGGAAGCGGGGAGGCGCCTGGAGGAAGCGGGACCATCCCGTGGCGGAGAGGGTGGGGGTAAGAGCCCATAGCACCCCCCTCACCAGTCCTTCGCCACCCACCGCTCGCACTGAGCGCCCCGCCGCCCACCTGCCAGGGGAGGGAGCGCAGTGCATATGCCGCCAGGAAGCAGTGCTCAAAACTCTGCAGCAGGCGTGAGGCTTCCATGCTCTCCTCCAGCACCATGATGGGGCAGAAGCAGCGAGGCGCCAGGAGAAGGCAGGACCAGCCCAAGGCGACTCACAGGACTGAGGGCAGGGCTTGAAGCAGCCAGAGAAGGCTGGAGGGGTCAGGGGCAAGGCCAGGCACGCTCGAGCTCTAGGTGTAGAGGTTAGGGTGTCAAGGCGGGGCAGTGGGCGGGGCCATGTGATTTCACGTGCTGGGACTCTAGTCATTAAAAAGGAAATACTGCCTCAAAGAGTAATTGAGACACAATAGATGTCAATCAAAACAAAATCTCTGAGCAGGGAGAGGAAAGTCCAACTGTACAATATAAAAAGGCAAGAGGTGCTCGCTTCGGCAGCACTAAAATTGGAACGATACAGAGAAGATTAGCATGGCCCCTGCGCAAGGATGACATGCAAATTCGTGAAGTGTTCCATATTTTGTTTGTTTTTATCTGAGCAACTGGAACACTTTTTCACTTCCTGATAAAAGAATGACTGTGGGCAGTGAAGCTTAAGTGAAAATGGTACGTGAAACAAGGAGGAATTCTAAAATTCAAGAGCGTGAGCAGAAATCTCCAATTGATTGGAAGCGGACTAAAAGAAATGGTATCTCACAGTTATTGGATAGTGATGAAGACCTTGAGAGTGATGAAGAGCATGATAGTGATGAAAGTATTGACAGTGATGAAGAACTTGCTAGTAACAAAGGGCTTGAAAGTAATAAAAAGCCAGATGATGAAAGTGAGCTTAAGTTAGTTAAAGTTGAAAGTGAAGGCAACAACTGTGAGCATCTCATTGACACTGGCAACAGTTCAACAAATGAAGGAGAAAATAACAAAGGCAGAGTAGTATTGATTTACCAGACCAGGAAAAGCATTCAAGTCCAGAGGATGCTGATCTCAGCAAGCACACTGAACAAATAATAGAGGATTCAGAAGAAAACGTAAAGCGAGGGAAGAGAAGAACCTCGGTGATGAGTGACAGTGATGAGAGTGGTGACAGTGACGTCCCAGTGAGGAAAGTAGGTTTTAAACGTCCGCGTAGAGTAGTTGAAGATGAATGTTCTTCAGCGGAGATGAAGCAGAATCAACCTGAGAAAACTTCCACTGCAAGAAAGCAAGAAATACTCCAGAAGCTGAAAGAACTCTCAAAACAAAGATCTCATCAGAGACCTAATAGTAGTTGAGATTTTGAGGACTCTGAAAGGGAATCCTGCCCAATCAGTGATGAAAATGATGAAGGTGAGGAGGAGAATGATGAATCTGATGAAGATGGAGACAATTACATTTTTGATGACTTTGTAGTACCAGATGAGGAGAGTGATGAAGAGAATGAAAGCCAGAGAGGAAAACAGTTAGCTTTATCACACCTGAAATCTAATTCAATTATTCTTTTAGTAGCTTCTGCTTCTACTTTGAACTAGAAGTTGTGAAGGCTTTCCTGATCAATGCTTTAGATGAATCATTCCTGGGAACATTATATGATGGCATCAGGCAGGAATCATATGCACAAGAAATGCTGAAAGCTTTTGATGATTTGGACAACTGCTATGTTCAGCCTTGTCTGGAGAACTTATTCTCTAGTAGTCGTTGAAAAAAGAAGTATAAGGAGCGTTAGAAAGTTATTCTGAGGTGAGCATCTATCCGGAGAAAGCTAAAGACTGTACCTGCCAGGCTTGCGGGTTGTATCGCCATTGTGCAGAGTTAGTGAGCTTATCAGGGAAGCAGTACAACCCCGAGACTATGAAAACTGATGATTTCATGCCATGGGACAAGCAGGAATTTTTTATTGGCAGAATTTGTGCTAACCGTACCAGAATTTATCATAATGTGAAACATTTTAAATTCAAGCTGTATCAAGAATGTTGCTCCATAGTAAATACAGAAAAACTTGAGGATGAAGACATTAAAAAGAAACAGTGGAAAGAATTTTCAATCAGTCAAAAGGAAATGGCTGGATTAAGAAGAAATGTGATCTACTTCATAGATATCTCAATGATGCGGATTCCTTTCAAAAAGAGGACCTTGAAATGTAACACCTTTTCTTCAGAGAAGATTTTATGAATTCCTATAGATGTGAAGATCATGAATATTGTTTCTCTGTAGCATGTGACGTATTTGTATATTTTCTGTATATCTTCATGGCAAATTATCTTGTTTAAAACATGTTCATCTTAATTTCCATGAAGTGGCACTCTACAGTCTAATAAACTTTTATCTGCTATACATAGAAAACATAGGCCTAATCACTTTTAAATGTATTTTGAAGTTAATAACAGTATCTTTATAACAAATGATTATCAATCAAGTGAATAAATGTTCATGTCCTGTCAACTTAATAGAAAAATACTGTATTCTTAAAATGTACTTAGACCAACATCAACATGTATGTATTGCTAACTAATATCGACATGTATACATTGCTGACGGACATTAACATGTATGTATTGCTGAATCCCTGCCCAGATGTGTTTGTTATCCGATTTTCACTAATGTATTTTTTACTGCTATCATGTAAATCAGTTGGCCATGGAATAGACCTCAGTGTTTCATTCAGTTCAATGCCCTTGCCTCAGAATCAGACTATAGTAATTTTTTATTTTTCTAAGTAATTTTGCCTATGTGTTAATGA